CTGCGCCCTCTTGCAGTCCAGGAGCCCTCGGGGGATGTCCGCAGAGGTGGGAGAGGCTCCCGCCACCACAGCTGCGCTTGCCAGCCGTAAGCTAGGCTTCTTGCTGAGTGGCACTCCCCCTGTGGGAGTGCACTGACCACCGGAGGACAGCTCCTGCATTGAGTGTCTGCCCTCTGGTGGTCAGTGTGTGTCATAGCGACCCGTCATTCCAATTCGGTCAATTTGCATACAGTAGGTCCTCAGGTTATGTCAGAGATCCATTCCTACAGCACGACATAACGCGATTATCCCCGTAAGTCGGAACCCACCTGCATAAGCACCTACATCTCATGGAACACATACACAGCAGTAATGAAGTGAAACAGTAAAAAAAATTTAAAAGATAACAATTCTTGACCTTTACTTGTAGTAAATAAATAATAAAAAAACATAAAGCACATATGTACATACATCGAAATGACAGAACTTTTTTTTTTATAAATACTGTAAATGGGAGATGGCGTCATAACCACAAAATGACATACATCAAGTCCAATGTAACCCAAGGACTGCCTGTATTAGCCTTTTATTATATAGGATGGTCTTTGGTTGATTACCTCCCACCCACCCAACCACAATTGGAGCCAGGGAGGGACTCAGGAGGTGGGCCAGCCAGGGAGGGACCCTGGGAGGGCTCCAGGGCATGTCTGGTCCATCTCACTCAGTCCTGATCAGCTGGACCCCAGCAGCAAGCTAACCTACTAGTTGGAGCGTCTGCCCCTGGTGTTCAGTGCACATCATAGCGACTGGTTGACCAGTCGACTGTCTGCCCCTGGTGGTCAGTGTATGTCATGGCGTGTAGTTGAGCAGCCTTAGCATATCATTAGCATATTATACTTTGATTGGTTGAACAGACGACCGGATGACTGGACACTTAGCATATTAGACTTTTATTATATAGGATACATCTTCATGTTCGGAGGCAGAGCACCCTTTTTATAACCCATTTTATTTATGTTGAATATATCTAAATGATTTCAAAAGGATTTGAAGTCAGACAAAGCTTGCAGTTCTTCTAGTCATTAAAAAAATATATATATAACATCAAGGATCTCGTTTGTGAGTTGAACCTTCCACCCAAACAGCTCCACAGTTCAGTGTACCTGGATGGCCTGCCACTCCACAGTAAGTCACGTGGCTGACTATAGTGTTGTAGATACTAGACTTTGCTCTGTTCTAATGACCAGCAGGAAGCAGAGAAGCCTTTGATCTTGGTAGGTTTCCCTCACTCCGAAGCAGCCTGCAGCACGAATGGTCCTGGAAAAGCAGGCACAGAGGTGAGGCCCAAGTGAATACGTATTTTTCTGAAAAATCGGGGGAGTTCTTTCTGTAGAATGTGACATAAATGTAATTTTATACCATAATTATACCAATTTTGGAAGCTACACTTTAATGCCTTTATTTCTAAGAAATTTCTAAGAAATCAAACATTCACTTAAATTGGCAATCACGGCAAGATAATTTTCCTCAATCTTGAAAAGTAAATTTTCTGCTTATTTGCTGTTAGTTTTTACGCGTTATAATGAATAAGTCAATTCATTTTCCTTTCTCCAGGCATTATGAAAAACCTTTGTTTCAGAGCCATTGCCATGGCTCTGGGTCTTTATTTTACTGGAGCCATGACAAACCCAGTAAGGAAAAGCAGTATTTTTTTCGATTCTGAGTGTCAATGGAATGGATATCGTCTGACAAATTGTTCCTTTACTGGAAAGCGGGATATACCTGTGGACGTATCACAGACGGCAGCCACCGTGGATGCAGGTTCCATTTTCTTTAGGGTTCTCTTACAATCTCCCACAAAAGAAGGAAAACGGAATATAAAACATCTGGACCTCAGTAACAATCTCATGTTGAAAATAACCTTAAGCCCTCTTGCACATTTACCTGGTCTGGAAACCCTAAACCTCAGCAACAATGCCATCCACTCCATCTCACTGGATCTCCCCGGTCCTAAGTGCTCATGGGCGAAACGCCACAGCAGCAGCTTGAGAAGTGGGCTTCCGCATCTAAAGCTGCTAATTCTTCAAAGAAATAAACTCAGTGACATTCCCAAGGGTAAGTACAATCTTAAGAGGCGGACTAGACCGAGAAATCCTGAGTGCGTGGAGAGTTCATGACTTATGCCAATGAGAATTCCATGTTTGCTTTCAGTTTTGAGGAAGTGGCTGAAAGTAAAGCAATTTGATCCAAGCGAATATAATAAAAGGAGTTTCTTCGTGGAATTTGAAGTTAAAATATGTGGAACTTACAGTCAATGCTTTTTCATCTTCTGTCACTATAATTTATATTCATGTTATGTGGATTTGCCAAGAGACACTAGGAAGTATTAAGTGCTAAATAATAATGCATGATTTTAAATTTTACCTGAGAAATAACTAGTTCAGATACTTTTAATATGTAACACAATTCAAATTTATTGCCATATTTGTAATTTTTTCTTAGAATACCTTTTCTTTCTACTCATCCAGTTGCCTTCCAAGTGTAGACTAGAAAAATGCTCATTTTATGTATTAAGATGTAAACTTTCTTACTAAGTCAAAATCAGAATTCCTTATCCTGGTTTCTAACGGGATACTCTACATATCCTCCTATTATAATAAACTCTAATCCATTCTGACATTCACTAACCTACATGTTGGCGTTCCTCAGCTAATCCACCAACGTTTCATTTAAAAAATGTGTCAGGTTCATTAGCCAGAGCTTCCTTTGCCCTTTCTATAGTCAGGAGTGCTAGGCCATTTCCTTTCCCTGTTTGTTTTTGGTGTTGGGCATTCTTTGCTAAGCACTTACTTTGCATAAGACACTATACTAAAAAAGGAAGTGGGAGGCTATTGTCATTTTTCTCCATCCCAAATGAGGCATATTTAATTTTTCTCATTTTTCACTTCTTTCATTTATTTATTTTTTGCTCTTTCTTCACATCTGGTCTGGTTTTAAGCACCATTTTGACAACAATAGCCTGAAGGGGTGACGGAATTACTATTCCAGCCATCATATCAGCAGAATTGTGTGAGAATGGAAGGAGCCTTCTCTCCCTGACCTTTTCCATAAAAGCAGTGTGCAGTATTTTCAGTGTAAACTAATTTCATCTTATTTTACAATTTTTATTGTATTGTTCTTATTGTAAAAGGAATGCTTGTTATTTGTGGGACATTAGGATTTGAAGAAAAATTTTAAGGGAAAAATTGAAGTCCTTCATGTAGTATATAGTATTTAAGTTTATTCTTTAGGTTTATGTACCTATTTTTATTTCAAATTGGAATATACTTTCCATAATATTTCATAACTTATATTTTCATACCATCAAATTGTTTGAATATTTTTACCTAATCAAGCAATTAGATATAATGGTATAACATATGTAATGATATAATGATATAATATTTTTTAACTAGTATGGTAGATGTGAATCTCAACCCACAAATTCAAGTGAACTAGAGATATAACCTTTTATTGTCTATAATTCAGCGTAGTTTCTGATTCTGAGCCCGAATTCTACTAGGATAGGTTGTGGGTGGGGTATAGGGTACTTGTACTTAACCTCAGTCTTTTGTGAGCTTTCCTCTGCCTTTTTTCAGACTTGTACCGCAGCTCTAGAATCTTATACCCTGACAAGACATCAAAGTATGTGTGTGTGTGTGTGTGTGTGTGTGTGTGTGTGTGTGTGTGTGTCCATCTGTCCCTTAACCCCATTAGCCAAAGAACATTTCCTTCAGTCTTTTCAGTTTGGAAAAAATCCCCTTTTTGTTTCTTCAAAACCTTCTGTCTAGTTCTAGAAATTCCTTTCCTTTAAAACTTTAGGCCTGTGGAAAACAAAAGCCGGAAAGACTTGTGGACTCCTCTGCTTTGTGCCTCACAATGTGCCTCCCCCGGGGCAATTAACACAGACAGAGCTTTCTGCTTGAATGGAGAGAAAGGAAAAGGGGAAAACAGAGGTAAAAGATTAATATGTCAAATATTATCCACCACAAGAGTAAATAAAGAAATGCCGAATGTGTCTCCTGAAGGCAGATGAATTTCCCGGAGCTCATCGGAGGTTAAGGCAAATACAATTCCATTTAAGGACCAAATATCCCTATAAAATGCAGATGCAGTCCCTATCTTCCTTTTCTGAGTTAAACTTGGCCTCCCAAAGTATCAGGGGAAATGTTAACTCGCAAAGGAGAAAAAAGAAGGGAAATGACAAATCCTGTGTCTGATATTCTATTAGAATTCTAGCAAATGAAACCGTAGAGAGATGAATGAAACAGCTGGGTGATGGAGTCCAGTGTAACCCCAGAATCGAATTGGATGTAATTCAGAGTTCTTTCACCCATAGCATTTTGTGATATGAATTATTTTTCCAAAAGCAACATGCATTTTCCGTTTTTACTGGATTGAGTCCCCTCTGACATCCCTTCCCATTTTATGATTCTGTGACTGTGGCTGGATGACTCTGGCTTTAAAACCCCATTTTGGAGGGAAAAGCTGGTAAGAGAGGGGCTGCCTGCCACGCTGTTTCTGACATTTCCTTGGTGCTTTTTTGATTCCTTTATTCTAAGGTTCTCAACCTTCCTAATGCCGCGACCCTTTAATACAGTTCCTCATGTTGTGGTGACCCCCAATTTCATTGTTACAAATGGAACATAATTAAAGCATAGTGATTAATCACAACAACAATATGTAATTATATATGTGTTTTCCGATGGTCTTAGGCAACCCCTGTGAAAGGGTCGCGACCCACAGGTTGAGAACCGCTGTAAGCCTTTTTAAAGGTAACATCTGGATAATGTGGAATTTACTCATAGAATTGCTGTGAGGTGTAAAGAAAAAAATGTCTTTCAAGAACCTAATTTAACATAGTATTTGGCATAATAAATGATATTTTATTTACATACACACACATATAACCTTGTAAAGCAGTATGCAAATATTAGTTATTATTATTCTCTTGGCACAAACTGAGAATAACAGTCTATTCAGAAACAAATAATAAATCTGTTTTTGTCAGAATCTCAAGTTATCTTTTAAAATGCTAAATAGCTTTGGCCAGTGTTCTCAGGTTAGAGCCTCAGCCCTCACACCAAAGGGTCTCAGGTTCAATTCCTGGTCCAGGGCACATACCTGGGTTGCAGATTCCATCCCCTGCTCCCCTTGGGGCGTGTGTGGGAGGCAACCAATATCAGGGAACATGTGGGAGGTAACCAATCACTGTGTCTCTCTCACATGGACGTTTCTCTCTCTCCTTCTCCCTCTTTCCTATTTCTCTCTCTACCCCTCCGCTCTCTAAAAACCAATAGAAAAAATATCCTCAGGTGAGGATTAACAACAACAACAAAGTAAGTTAAATAATTTCACAGTAGATGGGACTCCTAGTCCACTGTAATTCATGAGCCAAGAATCATTTGTGTCTAACTATTTATATGAAATAATACCTTAGAGATACATATCTTGGGAAGCAGGGATCAACAACTGGCTTACCAGCACACGTGTACCTGTATAACTCATGTCCCGTGGGTCTTAAAGCAGTGAGTTTATAGAGCCAACAAAGAGTTGCTTTCACCCAGGAAAGCCCCCTTCTGTGAGGGTGAACTATCACAGCGACTCACCCAATGTCAGCCCAGCCTGTCTTCAGAGGCAGCTGTGAAGTCACCAAAAAGCTTCATGTTGGGACAACACCAGAGGAGGTGCCAGCCGATGTATTTACAAGACAGAAGCCAGCCATGAATTCAACCTTAATGATCATTCTACCTTCCTCCCATATGTTTGGAATATAGTGTTAATAATGGAAAATCGGTTTTAAAATTTTAAAACAATGGGGCAGGTCTCCAGTTAAACTATCCCACCTTCATCAGGCAGTATTTCCGGAATGCCCACATAGTGCCTAGAAATCTCTCAGGACCAACATGTTACTGGGATTCCAGTTAGGTTGACAGTCCAGATGTGATAGCCTGACATCATTTAACAACGAAGTTTCAGAACCCAAGAGATAAATGTGTTAGAAATGAGATGAAATAATACCTGACTTTGAAACTGGTAGAATTAAAAAAAAAAATACAACCACAAAATCATGTATTACTAATCATGTAAAAACAAAAGTACATTGTATTCTTTTCATTTGTAGGAAATTAAGCATTTCATCTTGATTGCTATGATTATGGGAATACCAATAACCAATTTTTTCAAAAAGTTCAGGTTGGCCATAGCTAGTTTAACTCAGTGGATAGAGCATCAGCCTGCAGACTGAAGGGTCCCAGATCCAATTCTGGCCAAGGGCACATGCCTAAGTTGCGGGCTTGATCCCCAGTAGGAGGCAGCCAATCAATAACTCTCTGTTAACATTGAAATTTCTCTCTCCCCCTCTCTCTTCCTCTTTGAATCAATAAAAAAAATATATTTTTTTTCAAAGTTCAGGTTGTAAAGGAGTAACAAAATGTATGTCATTAAGCTAAAAGGGCAAGGTCTTTGGCTCACCTCTACTAGTTTAAATTTGACTACTTTAATGGCTAGCCTTATCAATAATTCTTATCTAGGACCATTCCAGACTCTATTCTAATTCTTAGTACTCTTTGAACTTGAAGCCATGACCCTTGACCATTATTGTTCTGTGTTATTAGGTATCATACTTGGGAGAACATTTAGGAAGTTCATAGTCCAAAGGAATATTTTTAAGGTGGTGTAATGTCTGGGCATACCTTCTGTGGCCTTTTTTCCAATAAACACTGAGATAATTTCTTAGAAGTAATAAAACTGCCTCTGGCCTCTTAAATGCAAAGGCTAATCAAATTCCTGCTTTCCCTAGCTTATACAATCATCAGAAAGAAATTCAATAAAAAAAAAGTGCCTCCCTATTTTCTTCCCAACATTTGACTCTCCTCTCTTGAAACAGAATCTACCCTCTGACATCCAAACTCAGCTAATGCACTTCCTAACCTCTTTTAGTCACCTGAATGCGCACCCCCTCAACATTGATTCACCATGCAAAATTTTTAAAAGAACGTATTTTCCCCCATTGAGAGTGTCAGCCAAGTATCATGGAAGAGTTCTCAAATTCCCCATCCGTTTTTGAGAGACCCTAAATGAATAAGGTCATATCTCTCATTATCTTTGGATCAGCAGGCTAATCAGGACATGTTGTTTTCATAACTGTTCTTTGGCAAAATCCAAGGGAGCAATCCCCATCACATTTCAAATCTTGGCTCACATCATGTCTGCTAACGTCTCATTGCCCAAAGCAAGTACATGACAACCTCAACTCAACGGGACAAAGAAGTAAAGTGAATATTTGCTGAATGATGATCTAACTGTTACACCCGGCTTCCACTGCGCTCAAAATACCTGACCATAGTAATCAAAGATAGATTCAATTTCACCTGCAAGAAACAATTTTTAAGGGAGGAAACTGAGGCATAGAGACCTTAATGATGCTTTCTGATTCACATCAAAAGTTACAAACAGAGCTGGATAAACCGAACATCTTATAGCCCTATTTGCTATATGATACAAGTAGAATCACTAAACAATCCCAATGCATTTGGCATTTTATGTATTCCATGGCCCATACCATTCTCTTTCATAGACAGCCCAGCCCTACTCCCCGCCTTCTTTTTCCTTTTCAAAACTCAAGTTATCTTTCAGGACCTTGACCATGTCCTTTGTGTGTGTGTGTGTGTGTGTGTGTGTGTGTGTGTGGCTAAATGGTAATGAATGGTTAAAAGATCTGAATTTCAATCCCACCTCCACCCACCATGACGTGGGGCAAATTCTTGCTGCACCTAAGTTTTGCAATTTGTAAAATGGTAATAACACCCAGGGGTTTGTGAGGATTAAAAGGAGATGTTTGTGAAATGCTCAGAGCACAGAAAGAGTACACCATTAAACGAAGGTTTAAAAATAACTTCTTCCTTCCACTCAAAGCTAGGCATGATCTCCCTTCCGCTGATCTCCTGGCCTACATATTCAATTCAATTAAGTACTGAGAAATTGCAGGAACCATAAATTCTCATCCCTGCATAGGGCAGGCAAGTATCACAAAAATGTCAAGGAAACTATAGCTCCTTTCATATTCGTGTCTTGTGTTTTACTTTTTTCCCCTCACAAACCCATATGTTTGCATATTAAAATATGTAGGAATATTATCCACAAAGAAACATTTTCTCCAGGGGGCAGGAGGGGAAATATTGAAGTGCCTAGGACAGCAGAGCAGCTCACAGATGCTGGGGCACTCAGTCAGGAACAACAAATTTACCAACCAATATCGAAGTATTTCCCACCAGCATATGCCAGCTGAACATCAGCCCTGGTTCTCTCCCATTTTTTTTAAAACATGCAGATTTCTTGGCCTATCCTTTGTTTTCCTACTTCTGATAGAGACATGAGTAGAAAGAAATCACATTTGTCGGTAAGTGCATGCCCATCTAAGACAGGTGCCCTCATTCAGCTCCAGCCAAACGTCTTGTGCCAGTTGAAACTTCCAATAATTCAACGAAGCTAGATATGCAACATTTTTGTATTGAATCTTTATTGTCAGCTCATTAATTTTTAAATCTCTGTGCAGGCCAAACACTGTGACCTCTAATTTATTGCGTGCATGTTATATTCCAGGCATTGGAGGAGTTCACAAAGACATGAACTCTGACCTGAATCATCTTATGGACAGTTGGATGGAGGGGTATAAGTGCTTTGTATAACTAGCAACTTTTTCTAGGTTTTATCATTCAACCAGACACAAGGATTCTATGCTATATTTGTCCTCAGCACCAAAGACAGTACACAAGGAATAAATCCTTCTGGAATTGAACCAACTTGATCTGTTTTGTGGTAGTTGGTTAAAGACACAGACTACACATGAGAGCAGAGCAGAAGGAAATGTAAAAATGCAGGGCTTCCTTGCAGGACTCAGATGGTAAATCAAATTTGGGAGACGCTGTGACTGGCACCTCCTTCTCAAGCTTTCTTTTCAGTGCCAAATGCACCTCCTGGTGACTCTGGCATCAGGTGAAATACAAAGGCAATTAGATTATTTTGCCAGAACACAAAATCTAGCTAGAATTTACTACCTTCAAAACATACAAGAATGCCTAGAAAATAGTTATAATATTAACAATAAGTACATAAAAGAAAGGATATAGCTACAAAATGAGTCATGAACATTTGAAAACTCTCAGTTCACCCAAATAAATAAATCATCAAACAACTATTCAGTTTTATCCATAATTCAATCAAATAAATATTTACTTATTCTTCAAAGTTAGACTTTTTAATTAATGCTTTTATTATAAAACTAGAGGCCCGGTGCACAAAATTCGTGCACGGGGGTGTCCCTCAGCCTGGCCTGCACCCTCTCCAATCTGGGACCCCTGGACATCCCTCTTGCAATCTGGGACCACTAGCTTCTAACCGCTTGCCTGCCTGCCAGCCTAATCGCCCTAACTGCTCTCCCCTGCCAGCCTGATCCCCCTAACTTCTCTCCCCTGCCAGCCTGATCTCCCTAACTGCCCTCCCCTGCCATCCTGATCACCCTAACTGCCCTCCCCTGATCCCCCTAACTGCTCTCCCCTGCCAGCCTGATCACCCTAACCACCTCTGCCTTGGCCCCACCACCATGGCTTTGTCCAGAAGGATATCCAGTCTAATTAGCATATTACCCTTTTATTAGTATAGATTAGCACATGCTCATTGAAAAAAAGAGTTCAATGATGTCTAAAATAAAGCTTCCTTTCTTCTCTAACCCCACCTCTCCTTCTAAGTGTAAGTACTACTAATAGCTTAGTTTACCTCTTCCAGGCCTTTTTTTCCTGCTCACTCAAAATATATGATATATGTATATGGGTACAAATGGCTCCTTTTTTCAAGAACACTGGAATTATACTTGATACCGTTCAGCAACTTAACATTTTCCTTCTCATGCAGTCTTGTTGCTCTACCCCATTCTCTTTTATAGTATTCGGTTCCATAGTATTTTATAGTATTGACATACCATGCTTTGTCTAACCACTTCTCTATTGAAAACCATTTAGGTTGTCTCTAATCTTTCACCCTTACAAACAATGCTGCAGTCAATATCACCAGTTTATATTTTAATTTTATTTTTTTTCTACATTTCCATTGATATTTTAGAGAGAGAGGAAGAGAAAGAGAGAAAGAGAAACGTCAATGTGAAATCGGCTGCCTCCTGCATGCCCCCTACTGGGACCAAGCCCAAAACCCAGACAGGGCATGTGTCCCAACCAGGAATTGAACCAGCAACCTTTCTGTGCACAGGATGATAACCAACCAACTGAGCCACACTAGCCAGGGCAATATTTTAACTTGCTTTTTAATTTTAATAGGATTGTGGAAACTGAAGTCATTACAGAGTTTGGATCTGTCATTCAATGGGATATTGCAAATTGGTATGTTTGATTTTCATAACTGCCTGCAATTGGAGAACCTCTATTTAAGGAGCAACAAGATATTCAGAATTCATCCGGAAGCCTTCAAGGACCTCAAAAAGTTACAGGTTATAAAATAATTTTTATAATATTTCAAATACACAGCCATATGAGCAATGACATTAGAAGAATGTTTGAAGTGTCTTCATGTCCAGTAGTACTGACTATTAATCAAAACATGTAAGTCTATTTTAAGATTCCTTTAAATCGCTGAAGTCTCTCTCTTGCCTTAAAAATCAGTGGTCTCAGTAATGGACATGAATTTTGCTTGAACATAATACTCAGCAGCAACAATTGGCACATTAGTTTTTTTCTAAATCAAATTAAACTTGTCGCTGGCTTCAATCAAGGTGTTGGCCAAGATTGGATTCTCACCTGAAGGCCTAGGTGAAGCTCACGGGGAAATGAAGGGGAAACTTTCATTCAGTTCCTTGTGGGCATTGACTGAGGGCTCCATTCCTTGCTAGCTGTCAGCCTGAGCCTGCCCTCCGTTCTGTGCCATGTCAGCCTCTCCATAGGGCAGCTCACCGCATGGCAGCTTGCACCACAGCCCAAAGGAGAGAGCCTGCTAGGACAAAGAATATGAGATCCATCGAAGTGATGTCCCATTGCTTTTGCCGTACTCTGATGGTTAGAATCAAGTCACAGGCCCCGCCTACACTCAAGGGGAGGAGATTTCTCAAGGGTATGAATACCAGGAGACAGAATCACTGGGGACTCTTTCAGAATCTGCCAAATTATAAGAGCAGATGAGAAAGCCCACTGAACTTGACAGTGCTCCCCAATTCACCACAAATAGGTAGTCAGATTGCCTGGGGACCTCATTTAGTATATTGTCTACTGATTATAAGTATATGTGTGTGTGATTGCCCTGTGTCTGTTTTATTTCCTATGCATTTTTATTGTACTTTGTAAGTCTTCTGCAGCTCACAGGTTATAGATGCTGCAGGCAAACTAAAAAACAATCCCAAGAATGATTTAAATCATCTGTAATTCTCAATTCACCTGAACTGCCCAGAATTATATAATCTCTCCTTCTCTAATATTCCTTCTACATGTTTGGTAATAACTTAAAAACTGGTTTTGGAACAGGATGAACATATTTGGTACCAGAAAGCTGCATATTAAAATAGATGGTATGTGGGTTGTTGTTTTTTTCAGGAGATGCATTTAACATTTACACAGTGCAATATGTCTTCCCATGTCAGAATCTTCTCAGAAGCCAGATAGAGTTTTCATATCATGAATTCATCATCATGTTTAGATAGAATACATTTGCATTAGCATTTCAAATTAGCATCCTTTTTCTTACTATTACTCCATTCTTCTTAGATTCAGTGATTTGTGTAGCAACGTATGCTTCTCCCAGGCTTTCTCTAATGTACACTCCTGCCACTGATGGTGGATGGCTGTTTCTTTAGCCACATTGAACTATTCTGTTTTAATCTTTTCTCAGAAATTATTTCTCCTGGATCATCTTATTAGTTTTCTGGCCTCACTCCAGTTTTGCTTTCAATTCAATGATTTGTCATATCATAGTTGCTAGACTAGGGGGAAAAAAAGCCAGACGTGCACTAAAAAGAAAATAACTACCTGAAAAGAACTACCTGAAAAACAGTAGAATATTTCACTCAGTTGTTGAGGAGGGTTACGTAAGAAAATTATTGATCCTTGGGAAGACCAGGCCAAAGAAGTTTTGTTTTTTCCCTTCCCAATCCCAGTCTCCTACTTCCTATTTTTGGCAACCTTCCTTGGGGAGTCAAGACTGCTTGGTTACTCAACACGGGAAAGGTCAGCCTCATTGCTCATGTCCAGGGAGAATTCTGACTCAGCATGTAGTGGTCTTGGTGATGGTGCCATTGGATTAATTGTTTGAATCAGCTCTTAGGGGTTTATTTAACTCAGGATATCGACGCTGCTTTTCCCGTGATGTTTATAAAACATTTGACCTAGATAACATCCAGCCTCTCTAATTTTCACCCATAGCCCTCTTTTTATTTTTCAACAAGACTTTTATGATTTTCCCTTCTGATAACCATCTGCCCCTTCCCAGGCCCCAAGACCCCACTCTGGTGCCTCATGCTCCAAGCCTCCTCCACCCAGCCCTTCACTCCAGTTTGGTGAGAGCTCAGGCTCCAGGAGGGTATGTTGTGGAATAGAAGGCACCCAGGGAAGCCAGATCAGATTTCAACTCTGCCATTTCATTCATTCATTCTTTTCTCCACTATTTAAGGAGCAGCTGCTATGTACTAGGGGCTTGTGGAATATACTGTGTGCCCTAGCCCAGTTTCCTCCTATGTAAAAAAAAGGGGGGTGGGTGGGTGGAATGAGGAATTTGTTGGGAAGTTTAGAGATAATATATGTAAAGCACCCAGTGAGGTGCCTGGTACACAGCAGTGCTCTGCGAATGGTAGCTAGAGCTATCCCTAACTATGCTTTCCCTGCTGCATCATGCCACGGCCACATCCATCTTCAACGGGTCCTTCTCTGTGTTTCTAGTGTCACTGAGTCCTTTTTGTTCCCTGGTTTCCCCTTCATTTCTGATTAGACTAGAAAAATTGGTCATCTTGTGCATACTAAGTAGTGCAGATGCAGAGAAATGTACTACTACCCTTGAAGCAAAAGATCTCTCTTCGCTACTTGTGGTCAGCCGCAGTTTTGTGTTGTATGGGCTCATCATTCAGAATCTTCTGCCACTTTCAAGAACACTGTGCTTCTAGACATTTTAGTTCTGGTATCTAATTCTAGACCTTGATCTAGACCTTGATAACAATGAGGAGTTCAGGTTTTATCTAACAGTACAAATCACAGCTCATAGGAAAAAAGGAAGGGAAAATGATTAATCATCTAATGTAGGCACCATACTTAAAGCTTTTGCATGCATTTCATCCTAACAACAATTTTGGCAGGTAGGCTCATGGAAAGTAAACAGTTTGCTTAGGTTCACAGAACTGTTAGAGACAGAGCAGAGATTTACTCCAAGGTTCCTCTGACTCTCAAATCAGTGCTAACTTCTTATTGCCTCCGTAAAGACATAATATCTGGAACTTGTCTATTGTCTCTAAGTGTCTTTATTCACAGACTGGCCCAAATGTGCTTCTTCTCGAGCAGGTTGTGGACCTCAGCAGCAATGCTCTGACCGCCATCCTGCCCATGATGACCATTGCTCTAGAGCTTCCCCACCTGGAGGCTGACTTGGCCCATAACCAATGGCAGTGTGATGACAGTGTGACCATCTTCCAAAATGTCATTTCTGAATCCTGGAGGAGAAAGTGGGATGTAATTTGCAACAAGTCTATAGGTATGTCAGTAGTACTGCTTCTCTCTGAAAGGGTTCCAGCTGAACTGAAAAATAAATAGATAAATAAATAAACAAACGAACAAAAAACAGGACCAATTTAGTCTCATTGGAAACAATGACAGCAAGAGTGGTGATCCATGGCCTTGGGCAGCCTCGGGCTGTGTCATAGAGCAGTCATTGGTTTCTAACTGTTTTCCTCAGTCATGAGTGATTTTCTTTACGTGGGCAAAGAAACCTAGTTCCACCGTCTCAGAAACTTCATAAGGAGAGAATTTTGCCCTGAAGACCCCACAAGTGTCATATTTTTATAAAATATATTTCTTTATTGATTTCAGAGAGGAAGCGAGAGGGAGAGAGAGAGAGGAGAGAGAGAGAGAGAGAGAGAGAGAGAGACATCAATGATGAGAGAGAATTATTGATCAGCTGCCTCCTGCACACCCCCTACTGGGGATCGAGCCTGCAACCCAAGCATGTGCCCTTGGCTGGAATCGAACCTGGGACCCTTCAGTCCACAGGCCAACACTCTATCTACTGAGCCAAACCAGCTAGGGCAAGTGTCATATTTTTAAATCCCAATTCTTAACAAATAATCAAAGAAAGAACTTTTAAAACTTGAAACATGATTAGTTTAAATGTTTGCCAACATCCTAAAAGTATAATCCTACACAGACACAAACACACATTTCAAAAGTAGATTTTTCTTTTCTTTGTTCCCTGCCACTCTCCCAAAGTGCTAAAATATGTTATTGGAGTTGAACATTCTGGAAAGTGGTTTCCACTATTTTTTTGAAAATATATTTTATTGATTTTTTACAGGGAGGAAGGGAGAGGGATATGTAATGGGGTGACCCATGGAGACAACCACCAGGGACTCAGATCAAAATTTAGGAACCTTTATTCTGGCCAGCGGCGACTAGAGTTACAGCACCCTGCCGAAGCAGAGGCTGAACTGCAGTGCCGACTACAGGAGTTACATTTTATTATTAAATTCTGTGGAGGCCCAGAGAAAAATGTGTCTTTCAAATTCTGGGCCCCCAATATGGAGGAAACTCTCTTTATTTATACTTTTTCCAGTCCTTTGTCTCCCAAATTTGGAATGAGACTTCTGGGCCTTCTGAGAAAGAAGGCCTGCATGCTGGGATGGGGCCATGAGACCATATCTCAAGGCCTGGCCTGATGTCAGTACCTTCCTATCTATGTGTTTTAGGACAGCGTGCCCCGCCTGGCTGAAGCGCCAGATATGCAGCCCAGCACAGGATAGTTAGAAACATCGATGAGAGAGAAACATTGATCAGCTGCCTCCTGCACGCTCCCTAGCGGGGATGTGCCCGCAACCAAGATAGATGCCCTTGACAGAAATCGAACCTGGGACTCTTGAGTCCACAGGCTGACGCTCTATCCACTGAGCCAAACCGGTTACGGCAGTTTCCACTATTGTGTTGGCTTAAACTTCTAACTGGGGAGTGGGGAAGAAAGGCAGATTTTTTTTTCTAATGGTCCTGGATTCTGTTCTGTTCAGGACTGACATTAAATAGGAACATGGCCATGCTTCCCATGTTTAGAAGAAAACCACGAAGATCAGAGGGAGGCCAGTGTTGTCAGCCACACGTGTCCTGTCCTCTCTCAAAGCCGCCCTGGCTTCTGAGTGTGGAGGGTAGAACACCAGGAGCCACTAGAGAACCCTGGGCATTGCTGTGCTCGCCAGCACTGGGCATGCTGAGGAAATGATGCTGCGAACATGGGTAGGGCTGAGGCAGACTCTGCCGGGGGCTGATGGGATGTTCTCAAGAACGTGCAGAAGGTCAGGGTCTGGAAGAAGGAGACGTAAGGAGGTTACCCCTCCAGTCTGGCTTCTTTCCCTCCCACAGGTAGCCATCGGCAAGAAGCCTGAGAAACACACCACTCCTGGGCTGGTGAGCAGCAGCCCTGAGCCCACAGCCACGTGTGATGCTCACGGAGCCGTACTGCTGGCCTTAGACATCACTCCGTCAATCAGGAGCGCTGCTTATCATCATGCAATATGCACTTTACATATAATTTCCATGTGTTTTACCCCCACTTTCAGGGCACGAGGAGGCACCCGGGTGGACACCCAGAAGCAGAATTCCCAGGGAGGCCCACCTTCCTCACACGAATCTGAGTCACAGGAAAAGCCTCCTAAGGAGCAAAGCTGAGAGGCCCCAGGCAGGGATGCATGTGGGCTCATCCGCGCCGGGGAAGAAGGACCGCGCAGGCTCTGATGAGCAGCACAGACGGCCGCCGAGACGGGTGAGGAGCACCCAGGATGTGCAAGCGGCTGGCAGGACGGAAGCCGCGTCCCAGGACCTCGCCCTGGCCGTGTGCCTAGCGGTGTTCATCACGTTCTTCGTGGCTTTCTGCCTGGGGGCTCTGACGAGGCCGTATATTGACAGACTGTGGCAACGGAGGTGCAGAAAGAAAAGACCCGGTCCTACCCTCGGGTATTCCAACCAGGGCTTCTACGATGAAACGGAAGCTGCGGGGGACGTCCAGCACCCAAGGGTGGATCTGCACCAAGCTCACCGTGGCCTAAGCCTCTGTGCGCCCCAAGACCCTTTCTCGGGGACACAGGCCAGCCCACAGGCTGCTGTCGTTGCTGGCAGAAGTCTGGGCATCAGCAGAAAGGAGCCTGGCGGCGGGCAGAGCAGGGGACCGCGCGGGGGCGACACTGGGGCAGGGAGGAGGAAGGATCACCTGCTTCCCAATGGCCGGGCAGCCGGTTCCGGTTCCGGTTCCGTTATCGGCGGACGGCCCGGTGCTGACAGTAACCCCCGCGCGTCAGCAAGACAGGACCGCGTCTGCCGGCATGGTCTCCGTGGAGAAGTCGATTCTGAAACGGAAGATTCGCGCAGTGAGCACTCAGTGGGCATCCCTGCGATTGCTGGCAGATTACGAACTGGCTCTGGCTCCATCCATAAGGATTCGAATGCATTAGACCCACCACTGTCAAGAGAAATGACGGCTGTTCTCTCTCAAACGCAAATATGTACAAAAGCGCAGAGGACGGGAGGGCACGGGGACAGAGAGGGCGCGGAGCGGGCACCGCTGGAGTTCCCTAAGGAGGTGCAGGTGGGCACTCCCAGTTTGCTGGACGCACAGGGAGCCAGTGCTGAGAAGCAACATCCCACCTACTACGGTTCAGCCCAACTCGGTGACCTAGGACATGTGGGCCCGTCCCCAAAGGCCGTTCCCCCAGGACGGGGCAGGGACCTACATGTCACTCCTGCTCACGAGGACCCAGCCCAGAGACACGCTCCTCCTGACACGCGGGACGAGCTGGACACCAACTCCGATTCCGATGAAGGCTCTCTATTTACTCTAAGCTCCGTGAGTTCAGAGGGTGCGCGAAATGTGAGTGGAGAAGAGGCAGATGGGGAGGAGAGTCCTGGAACCAGTGAGCTCCCGAAGGACCGGGACCCAGGGGTGAGGAGGGACACCGTGACATCATCCGAGAGTCTTGAGGACATCACCTTCCGGAAGGCTCAGGGGAAATGTGAGAATCAGGAGGATCGCTTTGAAAAACCTCTCATTTCCGGTTCAGACTCTGGTTTGTCCAAGAGTCATCGGGAAAGTGCCTCTAACACCCACACATGTGAGAACCCAGTGACCTTGCCCGGGTCACTGGGTGACAGTGCTGCCCGTGACACGACCCCGGGCGTGTTCACTTATGACTGCGTCACGGCTCCTCGGTCTGAGGCAGCAGGGTGGCATTGCTCCCTCAGAGACCTAGAATTTTCCACTGTGGAAGCACCACCGTGTCCTACTGAAGTTCCCCCGGTTCCTGATAAGACTGCCTGTGGTGAGAGAGATGCAGACATGTGTACATATGAACCTCTCACTCAGCGATCAGACCCGGATGAAAGCAATCGTCCCTCACAACACGATTCTGAAGGGGGCAGCACGCATTCCAGCCCGATGGACACAGGTGCCCCTGAGGCCCATGAGTCCAGAGAGGCTAGGAGCCCGACACAACTGTTACAGTTCTCTGGTGACGAACCAGCTCCTCAGGGTGAAAGAGGAGGAGGGGACTATTTTGAAGAGGGTTCCAAGAGCCAGGTACTATTATTACAAGCGCTTCCCAATAAAACCAGTCCATTAAGAACACAGGAGCCCTTCGGTGGTGGAGACGGGGGTAAATATTCAGAGGACAATCTGTTGCAACTAGAAAAAGATGATTCTGACTTCTGTACTCAAATGCAGACCCACAGCAACCTGATGGGGGTTGCCCGTCTAGGTGAGGACCGGCTCTCCTATAACAAAGACGAGGATGTTCAACGTGAAAATCAAAGGCAATGCAAGTAACATTCTTAGCACAGATTGGAGCACTGAGGTGGAACGGCTGAACAGATTTTAACAAATTCTGCACAAAGAACAGCACAGCTTTTGGGAGGTTGATCACGAACCTACAAACCTGGAGGGGTTCAGAGAATTTCTAAATATTTGTAATAAGTTGTGTTAAAAGTTGGACCATTTAGCCATGGCTGGTGTGGCTCAGTCGGTTGGTGGTTGTCTTGTGCACAGAAAGGTTGCTGGTTCATTCCAGGTCAGGGCACATACCGGGGTTTCAGGCTCGATCTCCACTAGGGGGCGTGCAGGAGGCAGCCACTTGATGTTTTGCTCTCACATTGATGTTTTTTTTTTCTCCCTTCCTCTTTCTCTAAAAATCAATTCAAAAATCTTAAAAAAAAAAAAAAGTTGGACCTTTCTCTAAAAATCAATTTAAAAATCTTTTTAAAAAAAAGTTAGAACATTTTATAGAACAAAGAATAAATTAAAAATCAATTTTCAAGAAGAGAAGTGATGGTTTTTGCAAAAGAAAAAGCGTCTCCACCATTATCCCTGCTTCTCCCTTCTTTGGCCTGACTTGCCAATCAGGGTTCATGATCTGTGATCTTCTGTTTATCCTCCTGCTTGACATTTTCCCCTTTGCTTTCCTGGCGCTCCTCCTCGGCTTGTCCTCTTAAACAGCATTCCTCAGGGGTCTGTTTCAAGTCTCCCTGCGTCTCCCCTTTACCCCTCTCCTTGGACCCCCTGCTTCACGACCAGCTCTATACAGGTGACGCCCAGGTCTGCACCACTAGACCCAACCTCCCTCCCAACTTCCAGACTCACATTCTCAACCCAAATGCCCAAATTCACATAGATCCTCCTGGGACCTAAAATCCATCATTTTCCTTCACAATCATGATGTCCCATATTCTTTCTATTGGTCAGTAATATCATGACATCCATGCAGCAGGACCGGTTAAAATTTTTGACTTATCTCTGACTCCTCTTTTCTATCCTATATCTGAGCAGCCTCTAAGTTCTATGCAGTGAAGTTCTGTATGTCGGATACAAGGGGGCATTTAGTATGGCAACCTGGAAGGGGCCAGCCAGTTTATGTCGGACCAGTGTTTGCATAGATAGCAGCTTGCTTTTACTTCAAGTGTATATTTAGGGTAGATTAAGATAGAAGGTGACTGAGTTTGTGGGAAAGGCCCTAAGGATCTGGGCCCCAGTCCAACTGTTGGCATCACCACTGGTCTTATAGGATCTAGCTCCTCAGTAACCCTACTCTTCACCCCAAATAGGGCACATTCCTCATCTAACATCTAGATTATTTTAAGGGCTCTTGTGACCTTTAGTCTAGAAGGTGACTGAGTTTGTGGGAAAGGCCCTAAGGATCCCCCAGTCCAACCGTTGGCATCACCACTGGTCTTATAGGATCTAGCTCTTCAGTAACCCTACTCTTCACCCCAAATAAGGCACATTCCTCATCTAACATCTAGATTCTTTTAAGGGATCTTGTGACCTTTAGTCCTCTCCTCGCCCTCACTCAATCTTATATCCTATTCATCTCTCCACAACTTAGAAACCTTTGGTTGTTCCCCATCCCCTATATGAAGACCAAATTCCATAGACACCTCCTACCTTTCCAACTTTATCTCATGACATTATCACTTCACCACACATTTTTATTCTGATTTACATCATTTATGTCAATCATTTATTTCACTTATTTCAGCAAGATTTTGAGGCCTTCACTGGTCCCTGATCAATTCCCCACTCCATTCAAAATTACTATTTTGAGAGTTCCTGTCCTTGAACTTTCACTGAGAAAATTTAGACTATCAGAAAGAAACTCCCCCACTCCCTACCCCATAGCAGCACACGTTTTCCTAGTCATACCTATACTCACTCCTTCCCTCCAGTCTAAGAAGAAGTCCGGGTTATGTGGTCAAGGTTAGTCCCTCCCGTCTGCTCTCATTGCAGTCCTGGGCATGGATCTATTCATGTTTCCCATTCCCGCACTTCCAAGCCTTCCCTATCTAATGGCTCCTCCCCACAGGCTAAAGCAGGCTCAAGTCCCTTCAATATTAAAATGAAAGAAAACCACCCTGTAGCTCCCTCAAAATACCACCTCCTTCTCGCTTCATAGCTAGCACCTCACGGGAATGGCCAGTGACTCATTGGGTCTTCTGGGCACTGTGGCCAGGCTTCAGCTCAACTCTCCTGTGCCAGGAGGCGTCACCAACAATCCCTACTTGCCACACACTGTGGACTTCAAGGTAACCTTTGCCGCATTTGTCACGGTGGACCACTCCCACTTGACACCCTGTTCCTGTGGTTTTGTGATATGACTATAAAGGTGAGGATCCCAGCAGGGCCGGGGATGGCTAGAGAGAGTTGAATGAAGGAACCACTTGGGAAGATCTGGGCAGGATTAAGGGAAACTAGCAAGGGAAGGGGAAGGACCGAAGGGCTAGCAACAGCGAAAGCCTTTCCCATCCTTAGGCCCAAAAAGACAAAAGAAATTGCAGCTATGGGTGCACAACAGGAACTGTGGTCTTTGGTAGAAGAATGTAGCCACGGAAGATCTGCAGCCCAGCAGGAGGAAGCCCAGAGAATAATCACCGGTCTCTCTTCCTCTCGCCCTCCAGTCTTTCTACAGCGCCCCCCAGTGGCTGAGCCCTGGAAGCCAGAGGGGAAGTCCACAGAGGTCGGCCTCCAGGCCACAGAGCTGGGCGGAGAAGGGTGGAAAGTAGACTTGGAGGGGCAAATAGAGCCCATGCAGCACATGCTTTCTTTTGATTCTTCTGCTTCTCTGGTCATCCTTCCTTGGGCTCCTTTTCTACCGTTTCTTTCTATGTTCACATCTTAAATACCTGTGTTTCCCAGGGCTTGGTCCAGGAACCTCTTGCCTTTTTACTCAGTTCACATTCCCTGTGTGAGCCACCAATTGTCAAGGCTTCCACCTCTACCTGAAAGCTGATATTTTCCGTATCTGTAACTCCAGCTTTGAAATCTTTCTGGCACGTTCTCCTCCCATCCAGCTGCCTGCTGGGTATCTCCACAGGCACTTCAAGTTCAGTGCGTGCAAAAAGAAACTCATTGCTCCCCCTAGCCCTCCCCACCCGTCAAATCTGAGTCTCTGCATCCCAGTCCACTACGCACCCGTTGCTCCATCCAGGAACCTGGGAATCATCCTTTTGACTCCCCTCTCCTCACTTCCCACATCTAATTCTGGTCATTAAGCACAGCGCATTCTAGCCCCCAAATAGCTGTCAAACCTGTTCCCTCCTCTCTAGCCACTGTCACAGCTACAGTGCTCACCTTGGCACTCCCACCAGACCGATGGTAACAGCACACCAACTGGCTCTTTACCTCCGTCCTATGTGCCCGTATGGTTCCCACACGACAGTGTGTGCGTGTGTGTGTGTTGGGGGGACAGGGGGAGGTCTGAAATGCAAATATGATCGTGTGGCACCCTAGTTAGAGCCCACCCATAGGCTACAGGCTTCTCTGTTTCTCTAAAGCTGCGTATAACCTTTGCCCACATGGCACTGGCCTGAAATGTTCTTTCCAACCCTCTCAACAGCCCTCCGCCACACAAGCCCTCCTTCAGCTCCCACTTAGTTCTCAGGTTAATCCCCACTTCCTCCGGGAACTTCCTTGGCCTCCAGACTGTGTTAGATTTCCCCATTACAAACCCTCTCACGACACAAGCACTCTCCTTCCCAGAGGAGAGCTTGCACAGGGAAAATTAAACAATGATGTGTGTGAATTTTTGTTAAATTCTGTCCCCTTTTTATACTAGAAGCACCATGAGGATAAAATAAAAAGTGTCTTGTCACCCCTGAGCCCTCACCACATAGCTCGTCGTCTTTGTCTGTGGGCTGTCGTCCACGGAGCCCTTTTCTGTCCAGTCCCGTGCATGCCCTCAACCGAGCGGGCCTCCTACCCAGGGCGGTGACCAGGCGGCCTCTGTCCAGGCTCTTTATTGAGCTTTATTGATTCCAAATCAACTTTTACATCAGTTTCACAGCTTGTGGAAATGGTCTGAGAGTAGAGAGAGAGAGGTCCCCGCGGAGACCACTGCTGTAAAGTGGGCCTTTGCTAGAGAAGGGGGAGGGGGACACAGAAAGGAAAGGACCAACCGGAGAGACAGTATAAGGTTAGGGTCCACCGTGCTGATTGGCGAACCCAGTGCCTGTCACAGAGGGAGTGTTTGGCAAGTACATGAATGAAGGAATGAAGGGAGGGAGGAGAGGGGGAGGGAGAGAACTCTGTTACCATGAGGTGCAGTGGGGTATTTGCATCCAGCTAGTCCTCCCTCCACCAGCACCTCTTTCCCAGACATCAACTTGCTAAAGGTAACAAGGTACTTGTCCTGCAGAGGCTTACACCCTGGACCTGGCAGCTTGCTTCCTCCCAGTGTCATTTTTACTCCATCTGGCATTTGGAAGTCGTGCTGTTCCTGTGTCCAGGAATCCTGTCTCCCCATTACGTGCCTGGGAATATCCACCCGCCTCCAGGCCCAGGCTCAGAAGCTGCCACCACCTTCCTCTCTCTGTGCTCCCCAAATGCACACCGTGGACTTCTATTTGGCCTTTACTTCATTCTGCTTTGAACCACATCGTTGTTTGGCATAGCTGCGCCTTGACAGAGGTCCCGGATGGTTTCCTTCAGCAGCCTGCTCCTCCCCTAAAACACCAAGACTTACGCTGGCTTTCTTTAGGCATCAGATGTCCTCAGACGTCTTGAGACAAACAGCTGGCTGGTGAAACCTGGTTATTAACTAGAAGCTTACATTTAGGCCCCAAAATTATGTTTGAAATGTACGCATGGGACTGACTTTTTGCCATAGCCTTTGAATAGGATTGGGGGGTGGGGGGCGATTGTACCAGGGCAGCCCAGGCCCTTGAAGCTGCCTTTCTTGATGTGGGTCAGGACAACACCACTGACCCTATGTACAAGGAGGGCCCTCTGGCTTTCTCCCCAGGGGAGCCCAGGCAACAGGGCGACACTGGGTACCATAGGAGACTCCTGGCTGCCAGAACAACTCCTCCTCCCCGCTCTTCTCCGACACAGTCTGTGCGCCACCCAGAGGAGCTGGAGAGGCATCAGCGCTCACCTTGCCCATACCTCGTGGGGCAGCATAAGGATCCGCACTTCACAGAGAAGACAACAAACAAGAAAACCTGCTTCTCATTTTATCCTCAGAACTAGAAAATCCGTCCTTAGACTAATGCGATCTGTAAGCTCACTGAGAGCCAG